GGGAATAGCACACCTGTGGCCCTGAGCTGTGGAGGCACACAGGTAGACCCGTGGGGCTCCGTGACCAGCCAGCCTTGCCTACCCCAGAGAGCCTGCCCCAAAAACGACATGAAGAGGAGAGGAGGCAGAGCCAGGTGGATCTCTATGAATTATAGGCCAGGCAGGAACACACAGTGAGGCCTTATCTCAACAAATAGCTAACAGTGGTGGCATATCTCGGCTTAATAAGGATCAGGATAAACAATTAGGCAGAATAGATGTTTATTCAGGGAGAAATAACTTACAACATAGACAGATGAACACCAGCAGGTTCCTGCTTCCAAGAATTCCTCTGGATGTCCTCCGGTCCCCAAGTGGCTGGCAAGAAAGTGCCCCCACGCCTCCTCCGACCTAGTTCCCCAGGTCACTTCCGCCCCTGGCTCCACCCCCAATGGGTGTGGTCAGTGCCACAGAACGAGACAAAGTGAAAATGCCACTACAGAATTAATCCCAGAATTTGGGAGCAGAGGCAGGTGACTCTCTGAGTTCCAGACTCAGAGAGTTCCAGACAGTCTGTGGTTGTACAGACTGTCTAAAAAACAAACAAAATCGAAATCCTTGAACCGGAGGGATGTGCCTTAGGGTTACTATTGCTGTGGTGGGATACCATGGCAAGATAAAAACAACTTGGGGCGGGCAGTGGTGGTGCACGCCTTTAATCCCAGCACTCAGGAGGCAGAGACAGTGGATCTCAGTGAGTTCGAGGCCAGCCTGATCTACAGAGTGAGTTCCAGGACTGGGGTTATTTACCTCACATATCCCCACTCACAGTCCACTGAGGGAAGCCAAGACAGAAACTCAAACTGGGCAGGAACCTCCTGCTTACTTGCTTGCTTCCCCTGGCTTGCACAATTTGCTTTTTTAAAGAACCTAGGACAACCAACCCAGAGATGGTACCACCTACCATGAACTGGACTCTCCCTTATCAATCATTAATTAAGAAAATGCCCTACAGCCTGCCTGCAGCCCAATGTTATGGAGGCATTTTCTCAATTTGGGTTCCCTCGTCTCAGGTGACTTTAGTTGGCATCAAATGAACAAAACTAGCCAGCAAATATGGCTCCCTTGATTGGTAAAGTGCCTGCTACGCAAGCATGAACATGAGTTGGACCCATAGCACCCAGGGGAAAAAAATAGGTGTGTGGGTGGGTGGTATGTGTGTTTGTATATGTGGTGTGTGTGTGTGTGTGTATGTATGGTATGTGGTGTGTGTGTGTATGTGTGTGTGAGAGAGAGAGAGATGTGGTGGCTTGCTAGCCAGCCAGTTTATCCAGTCAGTGGTTTAGTGGTGGATTCAAACCAGTGTAAGACCCTAATTTCAGGGTCCTGATGAGCCTGGGAAAGCTCCGAGACACAAACACCAAAACCAGGAGATGCAACAAGCAAGAGGTGTTTATTGAACGAGTGCACTCTGGTGTCAGCAATCTCGGGGAAAGCTGCACACATCTCAAAGGGTTCAGGCCCTTTTTAAAGAGTGTAAATCAGCATACATGCATAGGGCACCAGGTGATTGATTACCAAGTATGATCTCATGTTTGAGCGATCACCTAGGTACGACCTGTTCTTCTTCAAGGGAAAAACCATAGAATGACTTGTCCATTGGCCAGGAGTGACCCAGACAGGGCTGTTCATCTGGGGCCATTTGTTCCAGGGTTGGGGGCTTATTTCCTTGTTGTGGGCCATGACCTGTGAGAAACTTCTTTACTCTGACTTTCTCTTGGTTGTACATTTAGAGCCTTCAGTTATTCCACAAAGGTTTGATGATTCAGTAACTAGCCCTATTTAGCAAGATCAGCCTAGCATATAACCATTAGCCCCATCACCATAGTAACCTTTCTTGTTCTCATAATTCCTGATCTTTCCCCCATGTCCACGTCCGTTCTTTGTGATTTTCTATATTCTGCTTGCAAGAATTATTCTCCTGCCCCTCTCCTACATCCTTGCTCTGCAAACTAAAGTCTTTCACCAGCTCTAAAGATAAGGTGACAGACATCAAGGAAAACACTTGGTGTAGAACTCTGGCACACATACCCAAGCACCTGCATCCCCAACACACAAATTTAAAAGCAAATAATTTAAATTCAAATAATGTGTATTTCTTCCTTTGGGCAGAAGAAGACAGGTGTTCTCTAGAGTTGAAAGGGAGGGAGGAGGGGAGTCAGGCGGGAAGTGGAGGAGGGGAGGACTAGGGGGGGGAAGGAATGGATGGATGGGAGGTGCTGCAAGATGGAAGGAGAGATGTCAGGTACTGTGGCTGACTGCTCTATTCCTGGCACGGCTTCTGGATGGAGGCTGGCAGCAAACACTTTTCAGGTCAAGTTCCATATTTCTCTCAAGCTAGTGGTGGGAGAGCAAAGGAAAGGACAAGACACTGAAGCAGAAACTGTCAGAAGCAAACTGCTGCCCATAGCTGCTCAAGAAAAGTGCACACTCCATCCCAGCAGGCTGAGACTGCTTCTCAGCAGTGAAGGGTCCAGCCCCAACTGTGAGGAATTGAAGGTTGAACTCATATGGAGAGGGTGGGACACACACACATACACACATCACACACACATACACACACACATACACACACATACATCACACACATCACACACATACACACACATACATCACACACACACACATCACACACACATATCACACACACACACACACCAGAGCCACCAGGAAGTTAACGGCTATTTAGACTAGGAACAGCAAAGGTTGTTTACAGTATCTGGGCATATCTCTTTAGGTGAACAGTTGGGCTGGGCTGGGTTAAAGCCATTCTCTATGGTTTGGGGCTATTGCCCAGTACAGCTGGACTGGATTCTTCATGCCCTGAGGCTATTACCCAACAGCAGGGACAAGTAGAGACTTGGAGATGTTGCAGGCAGGTGTCTGTCTGGGAAAACTGGCCCAGACCTGTTGTGTGACCAGTTATGACCAGCTCAGCAGACAAGGTGATTTCTAGAAGAGATTTCTTCCTGGTGACTGTAAGATGGCCCAGTCCCCTAGTCTGGAGGGCAAAGAGGGTTCCCAAAGAGCTCCGAGCTGCAGTCCCAGCTCCTCAGGAGGCTGAGGAAGGGAGATCACTGAGCCAGGAGGCTCATTGTGAATGTACTGTTGCCAAGAGAGAAGACTGCCAGGTGTGGTGGGTGGGTCCTGAGACCTCTGTGGTAGCAGAGAATTGACCTGTACTTTTTCTGCTGTCCACTACCATGGCATGTGCACATGTGTGTTCACAAACAAACTATAATATTACAATTGTTTTCAATGATGTGGATAGCAACTGAGGAGGACACCTGACATTAAACTCTGGCCTCCAAACACGCATGAACACACACACACACACACACACACACACACACACACACACACACTCACCTCAAAAACCCAAGTAAAAAAGAGACAAGCCAGGCAGTGGTGGCACCTTTAATCCCAACACTGGGAAGCTGAGGCAGGTGGATTTCTGAGTGTGAGGCCAGCCTGGTCTACAAAGTGAGTTCTAGGACAGCCAGGGCCACACAATAAGATAGTCTCTGTCTCAAAAATAGAAAATAAAATCAAGAGAAATCAAGTCACTAAATAAGCTTTTTACATCTTTTTGGTTTCTGTCTTCAAACTATGCGTGCAGCCAAAGCTGACCTCATGTCCCTCTGTCTCCACCTCTGGAGCACAGAGACCCAGACTTGTGATAATAGGTCTGGCTTATGTGAGCCTGGAGTGAAACCCAGGCAGCCACTTTACCAAGCAAACCCAGCCTGTCCTGTTCTCTTTTCTGTCTTACTTTTCAGCCTTCCGTTGTTTACTATTTTATTATTATTGTGTGTGACACATGCCATGGCACAGTTGTGCAGGTCACAGGATGAGTTCCCGCCTCCCATGTGGGCCCTGGATTTGATCTCAGGTTGTCAGGCTTTGCTGCATGCACTGAGCCAAAGAGCAAGCCCCATTTCATTCTTTTGTTGGGAGGTAGGCATGAAACCTGAAGCTCCCTCATTCAGTCCTTAGAGGCGTTCATCGTGCATCTGGACTACTGATCCCACAGGGTCCTTTCAGCAGATATGAACCCCAAGTCTGATTCTTGGAAGCTGATTCTCTGCCGCTGCCCCTATGGTTTAGGCATCCAGTGTCAATGGGGAAAGCCACTTTTGGTTCTGGTTTTGCTTTGGGGGAAGAGACACCCTTCTGTGTGTTGGACTCCTTGTGAAAAGATAATCAAGCAGTGCCAGGAGGTACATGCAAAAAAAAAAAAAAAAAAAAAAGACAAACCAATAACCAATATTTTTGTCAACATATAACGATAATGGGCCCCGTGGTTTTGAGATTAATTGATTAATTGTCTAAAATAACTTTATCTTTTAAAACAGGGATCAAGCTCAAGTCTTCAGGCTTGGATGTGAGCTCCTTCACTCCCCAAGCCAACATGCCCACCCCAAGTCATGTTTTAGCAGCATTTGTCGTTGATTCTATTTACATTCCTCGCTAAGTGCTGCTTATGGATCGAGTTGGATAACCATCTAAAAACTGCGACTGTACTTGGGTCAGAAATCTATCGTTCCTAGAAAAAGGCAAACGCTTCAAGGAGAGGGGTGGGCTTCCCATACTTCCGTTTTCCTTTGGAGGTCAAAAGGATAGCGTCAAACGGTGACCCAGGGTTTGGAAGGACGTGGGTTGTCCTTTGAACACTTGGAACAACTTAGAGGCAAAGATGGCATCTAAGCGATCGCAAAGTGTGGTGGGATTCTGAGGAAGGAGCTGTGGGAGCTTCAGGGGTTAACAAGCCGATGTGACATCGGCCGTTCCAAGCTCCTCCCCGCGCCGTGAGGTGAAGACTTTTGAAAATCACCCCACTGCAGACTCCTCCCCCGCCGAGAAGCCTGGCCGGGAAGTGCTAGCAATGCCTCTGGCTAGACGCGTGTAGTCGGCGGCCGGTCGAGTGTAGCGTAGGTTTGCAGCAGGGTACACCGTGGGGCCGCCACCTCGGGTTTGCATCCGAGACACCGACACAGTGGGACCCGTGATCTTTGGTTTGCTGCGTGGACACAGTAGGGTCTGTGAACCTAGTGGGGACGCGACGTAGGGTCTGAGGATGAGCACGGCGGATCTAAGGCTGCGCTGGGCCATCGCCCTGCTCCTTGCTGCTGCTGGGGCTGCAGGTAAGGCTTGCTCCAAGAGCCCGCTCAGGGCAAGGGCAGCCCCCCTGAACTCGGGTAGCCCCGCGTGATTTTTTTAGGGGGGACGAAAAATGGTGAAATAGAACCACTCGTGAGAACTTGGAGTGAAGCCCTTCCCGAGTGACTGGAAGAAATTGTTTTGGAAAGGGGGTGCTGGAGTTGTAGGGACTCAAGGTGGGCTTAGTGGGGACGAGGAGGGGTCCTTCTGGGTCAGCGGGAGGTGTTCTTAAGAGCGAGGTATAGGGGAGTCCAAGAGGAGAGCTCCCGTCATTCGTTCTGGGGACCTGGGAGATCCAGGCCCAGCTGTCCAACTTCGGAGTCCCTAGTTCTTGGTACAAGACTTGGGGTCTCCTCAGCTACACTGGAATCCTGCGGCTACCGCGTGCCCGAAAGCTCCGCCCCAGCCCCACCCTCCCACCGCACCCCCGAGCTCCTACTGGGTACAGCCGGAACAGGCGAGCCTCGAGCCACTCCCCTCGTCCAATGGAGGGCGGAGGATGAGCTGCAGGGCGTGGCTTGCATGAGCCTCTTGGGTGGGGTGGGGCCAGGACCCTTCAGAATTAACCCAGAGTAGTGAGACTTTGATCTCAATCTTGTCCACGCTTCCCTGGTGCAGTTCATAGTTGTGTCGGACCACCCAGACCTCGGTTGCCAAGGCTATCAGCCAGGGTAGACAGAGACCCAGCAGAGAGTCCCACTCTCTGACTATGTTGGGTGGGGCTGTTCCCTAAAGTGGACTTTCGTTTTAGGAGAGGTGTTGGAATTTGGACAGGAGACTAGATGGTATGAAATCAGGTTACAGACCCACCCCAAGTTCTTTCAGTACTGGGGACTGAATTCGGTCTTGTACATTTGGGACAAATATTCTGCCGTGTAAACTATATTCGCAGCGCCCACCCCTACCCCAATTTTAGACGGGATCTCACTTAGCCCAGGCTGGCCTGTAAATCATAATATAGCCTAGATGACTGAACTCGTGATCCCTCTTCCTCCACCTCAGGAGGACGATAGGCCTTTGCCACCATGCCTGGATTTGCAGATCCGGGGATAGAAGCCAGGGAGGCAGGCACTCTTAACAGCTGAACCCAGCCCCAATCCGCTGCCTGGCTGGGACAGGAACATTTTAAATGGCCTTTTGCCTCCTCAACCAGCTCAGGGGTACTGACCAGCAGGAGACGGGAAGGAGTTTCTTTTAGTCATCAGGAATGGCTGTCAACTGTGCAATCCCTGGGGAACTCCAGCTCCCCAAAGAGGAGGGGGCTTGGCATCATGGCCCATAACTTTAATCTTAGCACTGGGAAGGTAGAGGCAGGTGGATCCTTGTAAGTTCTAGGACAGCCAGAACTATGCAGTGAGAACCTGGAGAGAGAGAGCTTGTGACCCAGTTGAACAGGCAAACACTCAGTCAACCAGTTGTAATTACGAACAAGTCTTGACCTAATTTCACCCACCCATCATTGCCTTCTTTAAGGAAAAAAAAAATACATTTTATGAAGTCTTGAGCAAGACCTGGTTTCCCATCTCACAGAAAGGCCTAAGAGCCCCTGTGCTGACCTCCTTAGCATCTCTGTCACCTCTCATGTTCATAGTGACTACTACAGCTTGCTCTAGCTTCCATGATTTCCAGACCATATGTTTATTTTCTTTAGAATGTGATCTGCTGTGCACATGTCTTCAGGTTGATCAAGAGCAGCAGATCTGGGGCTAGGGTGGTGGCTCTGTTGGTGACCTGTTTGCAGTCCAAGTGTGAGGACCCATCTAAGCCAGATGTGGGACCTGTATGTAATAGCAGTGCTGGGAGGTCCCTGGATTACAGTGAGATTTGGTTCAGAGAGAGATCAAAGAAGTCATGTGGCTTCCATACACAAACACAGCCAGGAGCTGACGGAAGGGGTGTCAAATACATCAGAGGTTTCACCCAGAACAGGGCAAGTACAATTTTGCAAGCATTGGTTACATGCCCTGGGTATATTCATTTGTTTCTGTCACATTTCTCACTGAATAGAATCAGCACAAGATTGGGTGAACTTGTTTATGTTTTTCTCTTGACCTTTTCATTTATCTACTTTTGGACACAGTATCTCAATCTCCTGGAATTTACTATGTAGTTAGGGTTTACCTCGAACTTGGGACAGTTCTTTTTTTAGTATGGTCTCCCTGTGCAGCACAGGCTAATCCGGCCTCACTCCTGAGCACTGACAGCTGCTCTGTTCTTGAGATTACAAAACCTTCTGGAGGTGATGCTCCTGTCTCTGGGTGACCCCTGCTTTTATCTTTCTTGCTTTCTCTAGGTAAGACTTGAATTTGGACACTTGGCTCTAGTCTGTTGCTCGTGCTTGGCTCTTTGGCTTTTGGTGTTCTTCCCCTTTCCCCGTGAAGTACATCAATAGCATCTGCACCCTCTGGGCATGTGAGAGGAGATTGCAGATTTAGCCCCTTGAGCAGATGGAAGTTACACCCAGGATGGGGTCTTCAGTTTAGGTGTTGGTTGGTTGGTCCTAGATGGTTATTAATTAGACTTGGTGGCAACACCTTTACCACTGAGCCATCCTTTTTTGTTGTTGTTGTTGTTATTTCGAGACAGAGTTTCTCAGTAGCTATGGAGCAGTCCTGGAACTCACTCTGTAGACCAGGCTGGCCTCACAGAGATCTGCCTGCCTCTGCCTCTTGAGTGCTGGGGTTAAAGGTGTGTGCCACGATCATCAGGCTCCACTGAGCCATCTTGATGCAGGAGAAACTTGAAGTAGTGAAATTGATGCTGTGCAGGACTCATTGACAAACTGCTCAGGAAGTACTGTTACACAGGTAAGGTGCGCACTGCACTGACTGACTGAACAGTACAACCCGCGAGTGCGCACTCACTCACCGGTTAGAAAAGTTTGTGCCACAAAGAGTGAAAAGACCTCTGTAAATGTTTCAGGCTCCATTCCCATAACAAAAGGAGATGAGCCTGACCTAGAACTAGCCATTAGTGGGCAGCTCAAGGGGATGGTCAGGGTGACAGGGATTGTTGAGTGCTGGTCCACCATTAATTAAAGCTTTGTCAGGAAAAGGCAGGTAGGCAAGATGGCCCAGGTGCAGCCTTTAGAAAAGGACTCGGTGAATTTAAAAAATAATGCTGGCAATATCTGTGTGTAACTTCCATCTGGTCAAGGGGCTAAGTCTGCAATCTCCTGCCTCTTTTTAAACTGTTTAAGGATGACCGTTCACGAGGAATACGTGAGCCTGTGGTCTCCATAAAGTTAATATTCTGTTCAAGGCTGGTTCCCTTTTGTGCATTAGCCAGAAGCAATCACACACTATTATTAGAGTTTTTTCCTACATGAACCTCTAAATGTTCAAAGCAATTTCTCACCAGAAAGCATTCCTAGCCTGACTCTTTTAATGTTTTGACAGGGTCTCCGTATATAGACCAGGCTGGCATGGAAGTTACCATGTAGCCCAGGCTGGTCTTAAACTCATTGCAATCCTCCTGCCTCAGGATCTTGATCATTGTTGATGGGGCTAGAGCCCAAGGTGCTCCCCCTGTGTGTTAGGCAAACACTTTCAATCTCAATGGCACTACCTTAAAATCCTTTCTTTTCTTTCTTTCTTTCTTTCTTTTTTTGAGATAGGATTGCCCTATGTAGTCCTGGCTGTCCTGGAACTTGCTCTATAGACCTGGCTGGCCTCAAACCACAGAGATCCACCTGCCTCTGCCTCCTGAGTGCTGGGATTAAAAGCATACACCACCACCACTTGGCTTATTTTGGTTTATTTGTATACCATCTGTCTTCAGTAGTTTGGGAAAGGAAACAGGAAGTGGCTGGGTATGATGGCACACTTGTCACCCCGGTACTCTGAAGACCTAGGAAGCATCAAAGACTTCTCAAAGCCAGCCTGAGCTGTATGAGGCTTTGTCTCAGAAAATAAAAGAGGGGGAAAAGAAAAAGCTTAGGAAGCAGTAACCACCTTATCTGTGTATGGGAAACAGAAGTGAGCATCTCCCATTTCAGCTGTTGTTCATGGTCGATTGTGACTTGAGTTCTGAGGGCCAAGGCTGCAGAGGTGTGCCCTTTTTTTATTGTATACTATACACTAAAAACCGTTCGTTTGATTTCTTTTGTCTGTATCTCTGGCTGTCCTTGACCTCACAGAGATCCCCACCTGCGTCTGTCTCCCAAGTGCAGGTATTAAAAGTGCACACAGAATAACCCTGTCTTGAAAAACAACAAAAAAAGTGTACATCACTACACTTGATTTGTTTTTGAATTTTTAAAATTACATTTGTTTCTTTGTTTTGTATGTGCTTGTGGGCTTCAGGGGTCAACTGGAAGAGTAGGTTCTGTCCTTCCATTGTGAGTCCTGGGATCAAACTCAGGTAGGCCTGGCAGCAAGTTCTTTACCCACTAAGCCATCTTGCTGGCCTAGTTTATTTCTCTTGTTTACTTGAAATGTGGGTCTCACTGTGTACCCCAGGCTGGCCTGGAAGTTGCCGTGTAGCCTAGGCTATGTTCAAACTTGCAACAGACTTCTGGCCTTTGCCAAGAAGTCCCTGGGATGACAGGCATTCACCCCAATACCATACCTTACTAATTTTTTCTTTGTTTGGTTTTGTTCTTGAGATAGGGTGTTGCTATGTAACCCTGGATGGCTTCAAAGTAATAGTGATCCTCCTGAGTACTAGCATGACTGGCTTCTACCACATTGCCAGGGTTATGAAGTGCTGGAGCTAGACCCCAGGTCTGTGCGTGCTGGGTAAGCCCTCTACCACTTGAGTCCCAGCCATTTAAGTGAGAGCAGGGTTAATGACCTTTCACCAGGGCTGCGTGGCCTGTGGCCTGACACTCCTCAGCTCTTTCCTGCCAGGGTCCCTCTGAATTTCCCTTTTCTAATGATCCATCCAGTCTGGAATTCTAGTTACCCTGCTCATCCGACCATCAGAGAGAACGAGTGAGTCATTTCCTTTTCTGGCCAGACCCTGGCTGCGTGATGAGTCACCGGTCTGGTTAACAGTTAGGCAATGGAGTACATATTATCAGCACAAAGAACGAGATGGTACACACCTTTAATCCAAGCTCTGAGAGTTCCAGGCCAGCCCTAGGTACTCAGGGCAAGGCTGTTTAAGGAGGGGGAAAAAAAAAAGAATTACAGTGTAACTGAGCAAGAAGCCAAGACTGGCAAGGGCCGCTGAGCAGTAAAGGTGTGGGTGGGGTTTCAGGTTAATGGGATTCAGATTCAAGAAGCTAGATGGTGGCAGTGGCTCACACCTTTGATCTGAGGCCAGCCTGGTCTATGGAGTGAGTTCCAGGACAGCCAGAGCTACAAAGAGAACCCTATCTCAAAAACAACAACATCAAACAAACAAAAAATTACTTTCAAGTGCCTGCCTTCATATGCTCCCTCAAGGCTTTGTTTCCCTTCAGTGTGTGCTCATGTGGGACAGCATGCTGCGCATGTGTGGCGGTCAGAGGACAACTTGCCGGAGTTGGTCTGTCTTGCACCATGTGAGTTTCTGGCCTAGAGCTCAGGTTGCAGCCTTGGCAGCAAGCTCATTTACCAGCACAGCCATGGACTCACATAGAAATGTTAGTATTTTGCCCCCTCCCTCAGTGGAGCTAGCTCTGCTTTGCATTTAGGCTGGAGACTTGGCTTCAGGTTAGACCCTCTGCTCTTACAGGGTTTGGTTCCTGCCAAGTCTGTCTGCCCACAACCACTATAACCCTGGGTCTAAAGGCTCTGATGCCTTCTTCTGGCCTCCCTAGACAATACACTCAGGTGCACAAACCCACGCACAGACACATAATTTAAAAGAATGGAAGCACTTGGGCTGGAGAGATGGCTCAGAGGTTAAGAGCATTGCCTGCTGTTTCAGAGGTCCTGAGTTCAATTCTCAGCAACCACATGGTGGCTTCCAACCACCTGTAATGAGATCTGGTGCCCCCTTCTGGTCTGCAGGTGTACATGCAGGCAGAACACTTTGTACATAATAAATAAAAACTAATCACTGGGCATGGTGGTGAAACTTCAAACCAAAACCAAAGATGGTAGCCCAAAACCAAAGATGGTAGCTGGACAGGGATGGGCAGAGGCTCAACAGCTAAGGAAGGATGGTGGCTGACCCCCTCCCCCAGAGGGTCTGACTGCTCAAAGCTCAAAGACATTTCCAACTCCACTCCAGGGAGTCTGACTCCCTCTTCTGGCCTCCATATACATGCAAGCAAAACATCACTACACATGAAGTACAATTAACTATATTAGAAATTTAAAATTACTTTAGCCAGGCAGTGGTGGTGCACGCCTTTAGTCCCAGCACTTGGGAGACAGAGACAGGCAGGATCTCTGTGAGTTCAAGGCCAGTCTGGTCTACAGAGTGAGTTCCAGGGCAGACTCCAAAGCAATAGAGAGAAACTCTGTGTCAAAAAAAAAAAAAAAAAAAAAAAAAAAAAAAATTACTTTAATCCCAGCACTCAGGAGGAAGAGGAAAGCAGGTCTGTGAGTTTGAGGTCAGCCTGGTCTGTAAATCAAGTTCCAAGACAGCCAGGGCTACACAGAGAAGTACTGTCTCAGAACAAAACCAAAAATTAAGATAAGTAAAAATTAAAAAAATGCCAAGCATGATGTCCATGCTTTACTTTTTATTGAAAATAAAAAAAAATTGCCATGTAATCTATTCTGATCATGATTTCCTCTCCCTCATTTCTACCAGGTATTTTCTATCTTCTTTCTCTCTCTAGGAAAAAAAATAGGCAAATAAATAGTCAAACCAGAATAAAACAAAACAAATGAAAAAAGAAAACTAAGTTATACATACACACACAAAATTCATAAAAACACATAATTTGAAACCATAAAATACAAGCAAAATACCAGTAAGGTTGAAGAAAAAGAGGGAGAAGGGAGAAAAGAAGAGGAGGAGAGGAAAAAATCCCAAAGCAAAATAGCATTGAGTTCATTTTGTGTTGGCTATCTACTGCTGACCGTAGGGCCTGCCCTTAATTGTGGTTTGTGTACTCAGTAAGACTCCATTTTTTCTGGGTTAGGGATTGAGCCCATGTCCAGTTCCCCCCAGCACTGGGACCTTGTCTGGCTTGGACCTGTGCAGACCCTGTGTATGCTGTCAGTGTCTTCTGTGAGTTTCTGTGTGCATCAGTCCTGTTGTGTTTAGAAGGCCTTGTTTCCTTGGTATCCTCCTCATCTGAAGGGTTCCCTGAGCCCTGAGGGAGAGATTTAGTGCATTTAGTACTGAGTGTTCCAAGGTGTCTTACTCTGTATGAATCTGTTTGTTCCTGTCAGGTGGATGGGACATTAATCTATGATTGTCATTAGGAGTCATTTTGTTGCTGTACCCCTTTAGCAGAACCAGATAGTACGCTTTCCCTCTAGGGCCTTGACCTTTCCAGTTTCAGGTTCTTGGCCATGGGCAAGCGTGGGTTCCATCTAATGAGGTGGGCTTTAAATTTGATCAGATAGTGGTTGGCTCCTCTCAGAGCCTTTGTGTCACTATTGTGCCAGTGTCACGAAATCAGGTGACCCACACTTTAATCTCAGCACTCTAGAGGCAGAGGTAGGCAGATTTCTGTGAGGCCACCAACATCCTACTCTACAGAATTCAAGGCCAGCCAGGACTACATGTCTTGAAATAACAGCTGTGGATGTCCTGGAACAAGCTCTGTAGACCAAGCCAGCCTCAAACTCAGAGATCTGTCTGTCTCTGCCTCCCCAGTGCTGGGATTAAAAATGTGCACCACCACCAACCAGCAAATTAGATAAATCTTTATACTTTCTCTTCAACAGCCCGGATGTCAATATTAACAATTGATTGACAGATTTCCTCTTTTGGGTCCAACAAATTATTCCACTGGCTATGCTGAGTAAATTTTCAGAAACTGGGGGTTGGCATTTCGGTTATGTCCGCTGGTATCAGGATGGTGTGTGGCCAGCTTTGCCTTCTGCTGTTGACAGACCCTTTGTTCTTACAGCAGAAGACACATGCGGCAGGAATGAGTTCCAGTGCAGGGAGGGGAAATGCATCGCCAGCAAGTGGGTCTGTGACGGCAGCCCTGAATGCCCGGATGGCTCTGATGAGGCCTCTGAGACATGCAGTAAGCCCCCTTTATTTGTTGGGTGGGTCTTAGGGATGAAACCCAGGGCTCTTCTGCTAAGCCACACCCCTCCTCAGTGGGGAGTTCTAAGCAGGGGCCAGTGTTCTTGACCCATTTTCTGTCCTTCCAGGGCAGCCCAGGAATGATAAGTTCAATCATAACAGAAGATGGCTCAGGGTGACCATCCGTAACCCAAATTTCCAACATCCAAAGTATTTTGTTTGCTATGATGGTGGATTTGGAGAGTTTCACACCTGACCCCATTCCATGCATTACAGGTCCATTGAAAGCCCTGTATGAAATTATCTAAACGGGCTGGGGAGACGGCCAAGCAGGCATGGGTGCCTGTGCCAACCCTCATGGCATGAATTTGATCCCTGGAAACCATGTAGTGGAAAGATACCTTCTTATTGCCCTATGACCTCTACATATATTATGGCTACACAGACATAACAGACACACACACAGATAGAGCTGGTGTAACTAACTGGTATTCACTTTAACTGTTCCTCTTTTTCCCTAGTGTCTGTCACCTGTCAATCCAAGGAATTCAGCTGTGGGGGCCATGTCAGCCGCTGCATTCCTAATTCCTGGCGTTGTGATGGACAGACAGACTGTGAGAACGGCTCAGATGAACAAGGCTGTGGTGAGTGGTGTGTGTGTAAGTGTGTGGTGTGAGTGTGTGTGTGTGGTGTGAGTGTATGGTGTGTGTGATATGAGTGTGTGAGTGTGATATGAGTGTGTGAGTGGGTGTGGTGTGAGTGTGTGGTGTATGGCGTGAGTGTGTGTGGCGTGAGTGTGTGTTGTGTGTGGTGTGAGTGTGTGTGGTGTGAATGTGTGTTGTGTGTGTGAGTGTGTGTTGTGTGTGGTGTGAGTGTGTGTGGTGTGAATGTGTGTTGTGTGTGTGAGTGTGTGTTGTGTGTGGTGTGAGTGTGTGTGGTGTGTGTGTTGTGTGAGTGTGTGGTGTGTGTGTGTGTGGTGTGAGTGTATGGTGTGTGTGATATGAGTGTGTGAGTGTGTGTTGTGTGTGTGTGAGTGTGATATGAGTGTGTGAGTGTGTGTGGTGTATGGCGTGAGTGTGTGTGGTGTGAGTGTGTGTGGTGTGTGATGTGAGTGTGTGTGGTGTGTGGTGTGAGTGTGTGTGGTGTGAATGTGTGTTGTGAGTGTGTGTGAGTGTGTGTAGTGTGAGTGTGTGTGGTGTGAGAGTGTGTGTGTGTGGTGTGAGTGTATGGTGTGTGTGATATGAGTGTGTGAGTGTGGTGTGAGTGTGTGTTGTGTGTGTGTGAGTGTGTGTTGTGTGTGTGAGTGGGTGTGGTGTGAGTGTGTGTGGTGTGAGTATGTGTGGTGTGAGTGTGTGTGGTGTGAGTGTGTGTTGTGTGTGTTGTGTGATGTGAGTGTGTGTGGTGTGTGGTGTGAGTGTGTGTGGTGTGAATGTGTGTTGTGTGTGAGTGTGTGTGGTGTGAGTGTGTGTGGTGTGTGGTGTGTGTTTGGTGTGTGTGGTGTGAGTGTGTGTTGTGTGGTGTGAGTGTGTGTGGTGTGTGGTGTGAGTGGGTGTGGTGTGTGGTGTGAGTGGGTGTTGTGTGTGTGAGTGGGTGTGGTGTGAGTGTGTGTGGTGTGAGTGGGTGTGGTGTGGTGTGGTGTGTGTGTTGTGTGTGTGAGTGGGTGTGGTGTGAGTGTGTGTGGTGTGGTGTGAGTGGGTGTGGTGTGTGGTGTGAGTGTGTGTGGTGTGGTGTGGTGTGTGTGGTGTGAGTGTGTGTGGTGTGTGGTGTGAGTGTGTGTGGTGTGTGTGAGTGGGTGTGGTGTGAGTGTGTGTGGTGTGAGTGGGTGTGGTGTGGTGTGAGTGGGTGTGGTGTGTGTGAGTGGGTGTGGTGTGAGTGGGTGTTGTGTGTGTGAGTGGGTGTGGTGTGAGTGGGTGTGGTGTGAGTGGGTGTGGTGTGAGTGGGTGTGGTGTGTGGTGTGAGTGGGTGTGGTGTGTGTGTGAGTGGGTGTGGTGTGAGTGGGTGTGGTGTGAGTGGGTGTGTTGTGTGTGTGAGTGGGTGTGGTGTGAGTGTGTGTGGTGTGTGTGTGTGAGTGGGTGTGGTGTGTGTGAGTGGGTGTGGTGTGAGTGTGTGTGGTGTGTGGTGTGAGTGTGTGTGGTGTGTGGTGTGAGTGTGTGTGGTGTGTGGTGTGAGTGTGTGTGGTGTGAGTGTGAGTGTGTGTGGTGTGAGTGGGTGTGGTGTGTGGTGTGAGTGTGTGTGGTGTGTGTGTGAGTGGGTGTGGTGTGAGTGTGTGTGGTGTGTGGTGTGAGTGGGTGTGGTGTGTGTGAGTGGGTGTGGTGTGAGTGTGTGTGGTGTGTGTGTGAGTGGGTATGGTGTGAGTGTGAGTGGGTGTGGTGTGAGTGTGTGTTGTGTGTGTGAGTGGGTGTGGTGTGGTGTGTGGTGTGAGTGGGTGTGGTGTGTGTGGTGTGTGTGGTGTGAGTGTGTGTGGTGTGTGTGGTGTGAGTGTGTGTTGTGTGATGTGAGTGTGTGTGGTGTGAGTGTGTGTGGTGTGAATGTGTGTTGTGTGTGAGTGTGTGTGGTGTGAGTGTGTGTGGTGTGTGGTGTGAGTGTGTTTGGTGTGTGTGGTGTGAGTGTGTGTTGTGTGTGAGTGGGTGTGGTGTGAGTGTGTGTGGTGTGTGGTGTGAGTGTGTGTGGTGTGGTGTGGTGTGTGTGTTGTGTGTGTGAGTGTGTGTGGTGTGGTGTGAGTGGGTGTGGTGTGAGTGGGTGTGGTGTGTGTGGTGTGTGTTGTATATGGTGTGAGAGTGTATATACGGCGGGTCCGTGCACTAAGAATTCCACTAGGGGCTCTAGGGTATAACAGCCATCACAGTGCATTTGCTTCTTCCTGGCTCCCTCCTATGGCTCAATCTCACCTTGAGAGATGGGGGGGATGGTGCCTCCTTTCATGGCCATCAGAAGCTTTTATTGAAGCAGGAAGTAAGCCCTGGTGACTGTTGCCAGGCAGGCCGCGTGGAGGCTGCACAAGTGCTTACATATGTCTGTCTCTGTGACGTAAGTACCCAGACTGAGGAAGAAGGCTTTCCTCAGCCGCTGAGCTCTGTTAGGAAGAGCTGGTGAACTAACCGGAGGAGCTGATGAGCCTCTCAACTCCATGTCCCGATGTCACACCACTTTCCTGTACAGCGGATGCTTGGGACATGAGAGCCCTGAACCCTGACTATTATAAACATATACGTGGGAGTCCCCATACTCTCATACCTCTAATACTGTGCGGTTTATACACTTAGCACAGTAAGCCATTCACAACAGTATCTAAACACTAAGATGTGACTGAACCCCTGCCTGGGTACCTCTGTGAAACAGGCTGTAGCCCTTTTAAGCACAAGGCCTATCTATGAACGGACTGGTGTGTGGTGTCATGGGCAATGATGTAACAGGGTGTTCTCCTCCCTGTGAACCCCACAGCCCCCAAGACCTGCTCCCAGGATGAGTTCCGCTGCCAGAATGGCAGGTGCATCTCCCAGAGGTTTGTGTGTGACCAGGACCAAGACTGCCTGGATGGCTCTGACGAGGCCTACTGCCCCGCCACCACTTGTGGCCCTGCTCATTTCCGTTGCAACTCTTCTGCCTGTATCCCCAGCCTGTGGGCCTGTGACGGGGATAATGACTGTGAGGATGGCTCCGATGAGTGGCCACAGAACTGTGGGGGCCGCGACACTGCCTCTGCCTCGAGTAGCAGCCCCTGTTCCTCCCTGGAGTTCCACTGTGGCAGTAGCGAATGCATTCATCGCAGCTGGGTGTGTGATGGCAGTGCCGACTGCAAGGACAAGTCAGATGAGGAACACTGTGGTAAGGCCCTGGGAGGGGAGACGAAGGACTCCCAGGCCTGCACGGGGGCTTTGGGGCTTAGCAATGTGAGATTACCCCGAAAGAAAGTTGATTTATTTTGGGTGAGGCGCTGGCTCAGTGGTTAAGAGCATCTGCTCGTAGACTGTGAAGACTGCAACTTCACAGCCATGCTCAAGCCTGCATTTCTACCATCTGGGGACCAAGTATTTTTAAACATATGAGCCAGTGCAGGCATTCTCATCCAACACCACATCAACTCGCAAGAGGCCAGGGTCCAGCCCCTTGAGTGATTTATTTAAAAACAAAATTATTAGCTGGGTGGTGATGGCACACACCTTTAATCCCAGCACTTGGGAGGCAAAGGCAGGTGGATCTTGGTGAGTTCGAGGCCAGCCTGGTGAGTTCCAGTACGGCCGAAGGTACACAGAGAAACCCCATCTCAAAAAAAGTACAAAATCATTATTGTATAATCTATGTGTATCATCTATGTCTGTGGGTACATATATGGAGGTCAGAGGACAACTTCTGAGTCAGTTCTCACCATCCACTATGAAGATTCTAGGGATGGGACTCTGGCAGTTGTCTTTACCTGGCCATTTTGCCAGTCCTGAAACTGCTAAGTTTAAACCTGCTGCAGTGAGGTGGGGAAAGAAGGGCCTCTGTTTGCTGCTTCTTATGACAAAATCACCACCTTGTCCTCTCCAGTGGCGGCCACCTGCCGGCCTGATGAATTCCAGTGTGCAGATGGCACGTGTATCCACGGCAGCCGCCAATGTGACCGTGAATATGACTGCAGGGACCTGAGTGACGAGCTTGGCTGCATCAATGGTAAGTTTTGCCTCCACCCTCTCTCTCCCTGTTCCCCCTGTGAGCTGGGTACTGCTGGTCTCTGCTGAGGGGCAATCAGGGTCTTAGCAGCTGTTTTTCCTTTCTTCCTTTTTTGTTTTTGCAGTTTTTTTTTTTTTTCTCCTGTATAAAACACACACACTTATTCTTTCTCACTGACCTGCAACCCTGAAAAATACACATGACATAAAGTGACCACATTCTAGGGCGGAAGTGTGGCTCTGTTGGTAAAGTGCTTGCGTAGCATGCACAATGCAGTGCGTTCTAATGGCCAAATGCACTGGGTGTGGTAACCCCAATACTTGGGAGGTGGACACAGAAGGTCAAGGCTGGCCTCCTGTACACATTGAGTTTGGGAACAGCTTTCACTGCAAAAAAAAAAAAAAAAAAAAAAAAAAATCAGTTTTTCGCTGTTTGCTCTTTCGAGTTGAACTCAGGACTTCCAAGGCAGGATGAGGAGTTACTTGTTACTTTTTAACTACATTGCCAGTTCTGGGTGTGGTGTGCAAGCCAGCCTGAACCAAGTAGTGAGACTTCTGGTTAAGAAACCTAATTCAACAAAAATCTATGTCTCTTTACAGCTGTCACTATACTCTCATACTCTCTCCAAGCTTTTTTTTTTTTTTTTTTTTCCTTTTTTGAGAGGGTGAAGGAAGGGGTTGATTTTTTTTTTTTTTTTTTTGAGACAGGGTTTCTCTGCATTGACGGTTCTGCAACTTGTTTTGTAGACCATGCTGGCCTCGAATTCACAGAGATCCATCTATCTCTGGTCTATCTCTGCCTCCTGAGTGCTGTAATTAAAGGTGTGGGCCCCACCCTGCTCTTCAAGACCCTTTTGATCCAGCAGAGTTGAAACAAACTCTTTCTGTTAAACAGTAACTTCCTATCTGCCAGCTGAGCCCCCAGCAACTAACCACACAGACTCTTGGCTCAGCCTGCATAAGGTCCTGGGTTCCATCTCCAGGGCTAAGAGGAAAACAAACACCACAGAGAAACTCTTTCCAGCAGGCATGGTGGAACACCCCTGTAACCCTGAGCCACACCCCACCCCCTCAGTGGGGGTTCTAGACAGGGGCTCTACCCTGAACTATACCCTTAGGCCCTCACTCAGCCACTCCTGACCATTCTCTTTGCCTTTATTAGTGACACAGTGTGATGGGCCCAACAAGTTCAAGTGCCACAGTGGTGAATGTATCACCTTGGACAAGGTTTGCGACTCCACCCGGGATTGCCGGGACTGGTCGGATGAGCCCATCAAGGACTGCAGTGAGTGTTGGGAAGCTGGGCAGATGGTGGTGTTTTAGGGGAGCCAGGCATGGCACCAACATGTAGTCACTATGGGGCTATGAGCTCCACAGCATTCAAAAAGCTTAGTATGCATCATAGACCTGATAGAGCATTGGCTCTAGGGCAAGCCAGACATGAAGGGAGGGGCCCTGGAAGATGAGGACCTAGTTCCGGTCCCTAGCACTTATATACTGTAATAAATATTGGGTTTGGAGAGACGCCGTTAAGAGCACCTATTGCTTTTCTACAAGACTTAGCTTTGATCCCCAGCAACTAAGTGAGATAGGTCACAATGGCCTGTGACTCTAGCTACAGGGGATCTATCTCCTGGCCCCCAGGTCCCCAGTGCCTCTGGCTTCTGAAGATAACTGCTTCATGTTCTCATACCCACATGCAGACACATGTACAGTACACACGATTAAAAATAATAAAAAGAAATTATTTTGAAAGTTTTAGCAAAGATAATGCAATGACTTAGTGTTTCCAGTGGAGAGTCTAAGGGGCTCTAGAGTTACTAGTCTGTGTCTTCTCAATCCTGTGCAGGGACCAACGAGTGCTTGGACAACAATGGTGGCTGTTCCCACATCTGCAAGGACCTCCAGATTGGTTACGAGTGTTTGTGTCCCAGTGGCTTCCAGCTGGTAGACCGGCACAGATGTCAGGGTATGTGTGCAGCACGTCCAGGCTGTGGCTCTGAGCCACCTCTGCCTGTTTCCATTGAACACTGGCTCAGTTTCCCCAGGTGCTCAATGGTCAGGAGTGCAGTCCCCACCTCCCAGGGCTATTAGAAGGGTTTCAAGGTAAACACCGAGCACAGGCCTGTCAGGAAGCATGGGTCATTGGCAGCCCTGAATTATTCACCCTGGGTGGCCGTGGTGGCGCACGCCTTTAATCCCAGCACTCAGGAGGCAGAGGCAGGTGGGTCTCTGTGAGTTGGAGGCCAGCCTGATCTACAGAGCGAGTTCCAGGACAGCCAAGTTTCAGGCTCTACCCCCAGCACATCATGAATCCAGCAAGGTGGCCCACACAGGTAATCCTAACACTTGGGATGTAACCAGAAGTTTACAGCCATCTTCTATGCAGCAAGTTCAAGGCCAGCCTGAGCTATGTGAGATATGTCAGAAAACAGCAAAAGATGCCATGTGTGGTTCAAAATATCTTTAATCCCAGCACTTGAGAGACAGAGACAGGAAGATCTCTGAATTCAAGGCCAGGTTGGTCTCCATAGTGAGTTCTGGGCTAGCCAGAGCTATATAAAGGGACCAACAATAAATAACAGAAATACAACAACAACAACAACAAAGAAGATAAAGAAGTGAAGGGAAGATGGGTGGGTGGGCTCCAGGTGTCTAACACTGGAGGGGACGACAGTGTCAGGGTCCTGCCAGGAGTGACATCTCTCAGCCACTAGAGGACTTTGCTTTGATTTTAGCCCTCGTCCCCACCTGTATCCTTGTAGGGAGGGGTCCTCTCCCCCCTGTAAACCCTTCCTCTCTTGATTCACACAGATATTGATGAGTGTCAGGAGCCAGGCACCTGCAGCCAGCTCTGTGTGAACCTTGAAGGCAGCTACAAGTGTGAGTGCCGGGCTGGATTCCACATGGACCCTCACACCAGGGTCTGCAAGTCTGTGGGTGAGCACAAGGGGGCAGAGGTGCCCGGGAAGCCAAGCGTGGGAGGCTCCTCTTTGGGGTTCAGAACTGTTAAGCCTTGTGCTATCTGGGTATAGTAGCTCTCCAGGATCCGGACTGATAGGGGAATAGTACACTGAGAAAATAGGGCCTTTGCCCAGATATATCCTTTCTAGAGGTCACCAGCTGAGGCTGTAGGATTCTACCTGTCTCTCTCGCATCTGGAAGAGGTACTTAGCCTGAGCCTCTGTAACCTCTCCACTTATTCTTACTAAAGAAATGGGCCCCAGGGTCTCGGGCTTGGAAGGTGGAGTTCTTGCCAGGCATGCACGGAGCCCTGGGTTCACTCTCTCACCACTCTGCATGGCTTTCCAGGCTCCATAGCCTATCTGCTCTTCACTAACCGCCACGAGGTACGGAAGATGACCCTGGACCGCAGCGAGTACACCAGCCTTATCCTCAACCTGAAGAACGTGGTGGCCCTGGACACTGAAGTGGCCAACAATAGAATCTACTGGTCAGACCTGTCCCAGGGAAAGATCTATAGGTGAGCTGCAGACCCATCAGCCACCACCCGTCCCATGGTGAGGCCCAGGCCCAGGCTCCAGGCTCCATGCGATCCCTCTCTTTTGCCTCAGCGCCCTGATGGACCAAGCGTCTAGCTTGTCCTATGACACCATCATCAGTGGGGACCTGCAGGCCCCGGACGGGCTGGCCGTAGACTGGATCCATGGCAACATCTACTGGACAGATTCAGTTCCAGGCAGTGTTTCTGTGGCTGACACTAAGGGTGTAAGGAGAAGGACATTGTTCCAAGAGAAAGGGTCCAGACCCAGAGACATTGTGGTGGACCCTGTGCATGGGTGAGTGTCCTCAGAGCTGAGGGGTGCACAGAACATTGGGATAAACCAAGGTGGGGGACCCAGAACTGCGAAACGCTCTCAGGAATGTGTGAGTGAGTGACATGGTGTTGAGCTATGGGGAAGACAGCAGAGGCGGGGGTTGTCGGTGATCAAGGAGGGAGCATGGGGGCGATGGCTATAGCCTGAAATACCAGCACTGAGGAGCTGGGACAGGAGAATTGCTGTAAGTTACAGAATAGCTTGGGTTGCAAAGTGAGATCCCGTCTCAAAATAATGAAAAAAGGAGCTAGAGAGATGGTTCAGTGGTTAAGAGCACTGGCCGCTCTTCCAGAGGTCCTGGGTTCAGTTCCCAGCACCCACATGGCAGTTCACAACTGCCTGTAGCTCTAGGTCTAAGGGATCTGATGCCCTGGCCTCCTCAGGCATGGCACACAGGTACACAGACACATAAAATAATTAAAAATAAAATCTTAGCCGGGTGTTGGTGGCACATGCACTTGGGAAGCAGAGGCAGGTGGGTCTCTTTGAGTTTGAGGCCAGCCTGGTCTACAGAGTTAGTTCCAGGACAGCCAGGACTGTAACACTTAGTGGTGAAGGCATTTGCTTCCAAGCCTGACAACCTGAGTTTAATCCCAGGGACACATGTAGAAGGAGAAAGCCACCCCCAACCCCCCGCCAAATATACATATGTGTCCATGCAATGGATAAATAAACATTAAAAATAAAAATGCTAGGGATGAAGTTGGTTTGGTCGAATGCTTACCTAACATGCATGAGGTCCTGGGTTCTGCCTCAGCACCACATAAAGCATGCGTGGTCATGCACACCTATGACAAAGACAGTAGGGTCAGGAGTTCAAGGCTCCCTCAGCTGTGTCGTGGGCTGGAACAGTGACTTAGGCTGCGGATGTGGTACAGTGGTACATACCTCCCTAGCACACAGGAGGCTCTGGATTCCATCCCCAGTGCAAGAAACATGTAAAAGCCTGGGCTTTTAATGCTAAACTCTTAATCTTGTACCCAAATCTCCCAGGCTGGCATAGGCTTGTCAGAGGTCAACTTTCAGTTCTCTCCTTGTTCTGTATAAGTCCCAGAGACCTTTACCAGCTAAGTCATCTTGCTGGCCCCACAGACAACATTTCTGAGATTGTATTCTACCTTCTACTTACATCACACATATGTGCAGAATCCCTCTGTTAAGTTAATGCCCAGAACAGTCAGATAGGAGTAAAGCGCCTCTCACACCCGTGGAGATTAGATACATCTAAAAGAACTCACTGCTTTCTGGTCTCTATCAGGGCCCAACACACCAAGCAACTGCGGGGCATTCCCCGTTGGGAAGCACACCCTACCCACCTCCAGCTGGTATGCTCTGTGCTTGTCAGGTCACATCCAGGTCGGCGCAGGAGTTTCACAGTGTGTGTGCTTCAGGCATACCTTGCGTTCTCCATGCTGATCTGCAGGGCCTGTGGTCACTGGTGTGCACCCCCACCCCCAGCATAACTGCACACTTTCAGAGACGGGCTGGCCATCCGAGGTCTTGACTGGGAGAATCCTGCAGAAGTTGTAGTTGGTGTTGGCAGCAGGGTGGCAGGCTTGAAGGGAAGATGTCTCAGTCTGTAATGGGGCCTGCCTTGCAAGAATGGGCACCATCCATTCTAAGAACCAATGTGGTTCCAAATTGAGAGCTAGCTGTTTAAGCTGACTCTTGTCACCAGTAGTAGGAGTCTGCTATTGGAGTATCCTCATCTCTCCTCTGTACTGTCTGTTGTCTTGTCCAGATTTATGTACTGGACAGATTGGGGGACACCTGCCAAGATCAAGAAAGGAGGCCTGAATGGTGTAGACATCTACTCGCTGGTGACTGAGGACATCCAGTGGCCAAATGGCATCACACTAGGTATATCCAAGGGTTGATCTTGCCTGCGGGGGCTTGACATTATGTAATTTACATTATCCTCTTCTTATACAGCTAGAAGGGTTACTGGGTTGGGGCAAAAGCCATGGTGTGGCCTTCAGGTTTATATGTAGTAGAGGACTTCTCCCAAAACAGTACCTTTAACTCCAAGCTAGTGTTCTGAAGTTTTTCTGGCATGATCTGGAGTTTTCTGGAACATTGTAGAACATTCTGGAATACTCCGGCAAATTGAATGATTTTATTTTCAACTCTGACCGCTCCATATCTCCTTGTCTATTCGTGCATTTTAGATATTCCCAGTGGCCGCCTCTATTGGGTTGATTCCAAACTCCACTCTATCTCCAGCATTGATGTCAATGGGGGCAATCGGAAGACCATTTTGGAGGATGAGAAGCAGCTGGCCCACCCCTTCTCCTTGGCCATCTATGAGGTGAATCCCAGGAATGTGAGGGAATTTGGACCAGTCCTAGATATGTCTTGTCCATTCAAGCCAACACTGATTAGGATATCGGTTCTTGCCTAGAGATCTAGAGAGAGGTGGCAGAATTTTTATTTATATTTATTTATTTTATTATTTGTTTATTGTGGTGCTAGGATTGGAACCCAGAGTTCATGAAGAGATAGGAAAATGCCTGGGCCTCACTGGCCAGCCAATGTAGCCAACTCAGTGAACTCCAGATTCAGTGAAAGAGAGAGACCCTGTCTCAAAAATTAAGGGAGAAAGGGCCTGAGAAAGAGAGTTGACATCCACCTGTGGCCTTCACACATGTGCAAAGCTCACAAACATGTACATGCAATAGAGAAAAAGAATGGTTAGGATGAGATATTTTATGCATATTTCACTACATTTATAAAGTAGAACTTTCTGCTACAGACAGTATTGCTTATGCTTAGAGAACCCAGAGGTTTAGGGGAGGTTATGGAGATGTGTGTATTCCAGTGGCTAATTCCAATTCTTTAGCGGGTTTGGTTGTCTACCATATCTGTCACCCATGTAGGACAAAGTATTTTGGACAGATGTCATAAATGAAGCCATTTTCAGTGCCAATCGCCTCACGGGTTCAGATGTTAATTTGGTGGCTGAAAACCTCTTGTCTCCAGAGGGCATTGTCCTGTTCCACAACGTCACACAGCCTAGAGGTAAGCCTCTACACTCAAATATTAACTCTGCCATTGTCCTAGGATTCATTAGACTCCTATGGCTTATTTGACAATGAGTTCGACACCTTTCCTGTACCCATTAATAAAATTTTCATCCATTGCTCTAGAATTTTTTCTAGACTATTCTGATGTATCTGATGTTATCAGTTCATTCTATCTGAACGTCTCTTCTTCCCCCCAGGGGTTAACTGGTGTGAGAGAACAGCCCTCCTCAATGGCGGCTGCCAGTACCTGTGCCTGCCGGCCCCACAGATCAACACCCACTCCCCGAAATTCACCTGCGCCTGTCCTGATGGCATGCTACTGGCCAAGGACATGAGGAGCTGCCTCACAGGTAGGGGTACAAGTCCTAAGAGCTGTGCCCACATGAGCCTGCCAAGGCTGACTGGACATCAAAGCTGTCTGGGGACTCATGAATGGACTCACTTGGGCTGACGTCCCCTTTGGGGTCTCTAAGATCCATGAGGAAGTGGTCTGACTTCAGACCAGGGCATCAAGTGAGAAAGAGGACCCCTTTCCCTGATTTCATCTGAGAGAGGCTCACTTTGGAGTTGTTTCTGTCTACTTTCTGTTGCTAAAACAGACTGCCTGAGACTGGATAATTTATAAAGCATAGAAGTTTATGTGGCTCCAGGTTCTAGATACTGGAAGTCTCATAGGGCTTTTCTTTCTGCATGCTAAGGGGGAAGGCATCACGTGTTGACACACAGCAAATGTTCTCATTTTATCTATTCGTTTATTTATCAGACAATTTTTTAGGAAGGAGGGCAAGCTTCAGGGCAGCCGAGGCTACACTGGGAAACTCTGTCTCAAAAAAGAAAAAACAAATCAGTGACTGAGCTTCTTTCTTTTTTTCTTTCTTTCTTTCTTCCTTTCTTCTTTTCTTCCTATTTTGATTTTTTTTGAGGTAGGGTTTCTCTAAGTGTCTCTAGCTGTCCTGGCACTTGCTCTGAAGAGCAGGCTGGCCTCAAACTCACAGAGAACCTCCTCCATCTTCCGAGTACTGGGATCAAAGGTGTGGATTTTGGGGGTCACTCTCACCTTCTCAGGGACCACGGTGTCCTCAGCATTGGCACATCCTCTTTATAAGAACAGGGCGGGTACTCTGGAGGTGGAGGCAGGAGAATCGCAAATTTGAGGTTATCCTGGAACATATTGCCATTCACTTGCAGTGTTTGTTTTGAGTCCCTGATGCCCCTGGACCTTGGTACCTGCTCTTCATTCACAGTGGAGGTGTGGGTGGCACCCCAGCCCATGGCACTCAGGTCATGTTTATTGTCCTATCAGAAGTCGAGCCTGTAGTAACCGCCCAGGTGACATCAACAATCAGGCCTGTGATCACTGCAACAGCCTGGGGGCCACCTAAGAGCAAGGAGGATCAGTCTGGTTCCAGCCCTTCCAGGCAGCCTGTGGACATGCCTGAACTCAGCACAGTGGAGTCGGTCACCATGTCCCACCAAGGTAAAGGCCACACCCACCCAACATTTGATAAGTACTATATTTTTTTAATTCCACTGATTTTTTTTTTTAATATTATTTTCAGTGGGTTCCAGGAGGAACCTTTATTAAACATGCCATCTTGCTGGCTCAGTTTTTATACTTTGGAAAGAACTTTTATATTTAGAGGGAGAATATGGATGAATACAACACCTCAGAGTGTGGCAGCTTCTAGGGAATTAGCTCAAGTTGTTCCTGAGTACGTCTGCCCACTTCTTTTTCTTTTCTTTCTGCTAATTACACTGATTTATTTAGTGGTTTGGGGAATGCGCTGCCATGCCTGTGTGGTCAAAGCAGAACATGTGCAGTCTTGGGGTCAAACTCAGGTTAGCAAGCCTGGCAGCAAGCACCTTTACTCACAGTCATCTCACTGGCTCATGGTGCTGAGTGTCTGTCTGGGTGTAGGTTTTGTGCAAATGTTTGGTATTTCCAGGGGTCGTGGAACTGTCTTCTGTGTGTGGACACTGGAGGACAACTGTGCCTGAGATTAAGGCCATATGATTTATGCAAATCTTGATAACATCTCCAGGGTTCCCTGAACAGGTGATAGACATGTGTTGGGCACTCTCCTTGGGTGGCTCCCGTCAGGTCCCGACCTGAGTTCTGTGTCTCCTGACCTCAGCCTCACTTTATTCTTTTCTTACCCCAGTCCAGATTGACAGAAGGAACGAGGAGCGGCCGCAGGGTGTGGGGGTCATGTCCATCACCCTCCCCATTGGTAAGTGCTGACTTAGAGGCTTCTGAGACTTCATGCTTAGCCTGCTGGACCAGTAAACCCTTCTGACCCAAAGTGGAATGTCCTGATTGGTAGAACGCAACTTTGATCACGCAGGCAGAGCTCTTGAGTTTGTTTGAGGCCCTGGTATACAATTAGAGTTCTAGACTGGCAAGGGGTACACAGTGGGCCTCTTGTCTCAAAAAATTAATAAGGATCAAGTGGTGGAGCACACCTTTAATCCCGGTGCTCTGGAGGCAGAGGCAGGAGGAGCTCTGAGTTCAAGGCCAGCCTGCCCTACAAAGGAAGTTCTAGAACAGCTAGGACTACACAGAGAAACCCTGTCTCAAAAAAACAAAACAAACAAAAACTAAATAAAATAAAAAAGAGGTGTGGGAGAGGGAATTGGAAGTCTGTGTAGAAACAAAAGTCACATTGATTCACGCCATTAATTCCAGCATGCAGGAGGCAGAGGCAGGTGGGTCTCTGTGAGTTTAAGAACACCCAGGGCTTCATAGTGAGACCCTGTCTCAAAAAACAAAACAAAGCAAAGTTGACCAAAAAAAAAAAAAAATCTCAGAGTCCAGGCTGGTTCAGAAGTTAGCATCCACCTGCCTCATCCCTCTGAAGTGCTAGGCTTATAGGTCCTGGTCCCCCCCCCCAGCATTTTTTTTTTCTTTGTATAATAAGTAAGATAATTTTACATTGAGAACACACTGAGTCCTGTAAAGGAGCCAGGTGGGAATGCCTAGTGGCCTCTCGGGCACAAGGCCTCCTAGGGCTCTCCCTGACTAAGCCTCTTCTCTACACAGCACTGGTCATCCTCATTGCCTTTGGGGCCATCCTGCTGTGGAGGAACTGGCGGCTGAGGAGCATCAACAGCATAAACTTTGACAACCCAGTGTACCAGAAGACCACGGAAGATGAGCTCCACATTTGCAGAAGCCAGGATGGCTACTCCTACCCTTCAGTGAGTGTGGCCTTTTGTGGAAGAGAGGAGGCAGCTAACAAGCTGAAGGACAGACAAGTTAGGTGGGGTGGAAAAAAGGAAGAGGAAGCCAGGGCATGTATAGCTCAGTAGTCGAGTGCCTGCCTGGAGCCCCTCAGGGAGGGGCTGGGAGCATGGCTCAGTGATAGACCCTGCCTAGAATCCCCTGTGAGGGTCTAAGGCATAAAGTAGTTGTTTGTTTTTATTTAAGGTTTTATTATTTATTATGTATACCATGCCTGCATAGATGGTTGTGAGCCACCATGTGGTTGCTGGGAATTGAACTCAGATTAAGAGCAGTCAGTGCTCTTAACCACTGAGCCATCTCTCCAGCCTGGGTATAATGTGTTTAAGAAGCATGGACGAAGACTGGAAAGGTGGCTCTTGTTAAGAGCACTGGATGTTCTTCCAGAGGACCTGGGTTCAATTCTCAGCACCCATCTGGCCTTCACAGGCGTGAGGTACAAACTTTCATGGAAGCAAAACATCCATACACAAAAATAATTCTAAAAAAGAAACACAGGGACATACATATATGTGGCAATATTGTGAGCTTAGGGAGGATTGCTGCTCTGTGAGGCAGGCACCCTAGGGGATCTCCACAGCACCCTCTGGTGGCTGTAAAGGGGAGAGAAGGTGGCAACCGAGGCATGAGCGGATGCCTTCTGTGTGCAGTGGAATGTGGCCTACTCTGGCTGCCTGCAGTCCCCATTAGACTGATCGTTTCCTGTGTTTATGGTTTTCTGACAGCGACAGATGGTCAGCCTGGAGGATGATGTAGCATGAACAGCTGTGAGAACCTTGTTTTTCCGGGATCCATCGCCACTCTCAGGCAGGAAGGACACTTTTTCTGCGCCTCGCTGCCCAGGACTGGTCCTGCAACCTCTGTGGCCACTGTGTTGCTCAAAGCAAGATTAAGAGCAAAGCTGGGCTGGGACCAAGCTCAGCGGCCTGCCTGCCCCTGCTCTGTTTTATATATTTATTGTCCGGGGGCAGAAAAGGCTGCTGGCTGTACTCAAGATGTGAATTCTGGCTGGGATTCCCTCCTCCCCCATCTTTCTTTCCTTGGAAGACAAAGAAGCAACCCCCAGAAGTTTCTTCGTTCTCTTTTTTCCATTCACAGGAAGTGGGAAGGGACCCAGGTGGAGAGAAGCCCTTTGTTCTGAACATTCGACAGCAGGTGCTCATGGCAGAGTCCCGGTACCACAACCAATCCCTAAACTCAGGACTCTTCGCATTTACCTCCACCCTGCAAGCCTTAGCCGCCGGCCAGTTAGCCCTGGCTCTGACCCTATCAGGTCTTTCGAGCCGCAGAAGCCAGGAAAGTGACTTGTGGCTGATCTTGCTGGATCGTGGGACCAGCAGCTGCCAGTGCCTGATTCCTGCTCATGCCTTCGCTAAGCTTTCTTGTCCCTGGAGAACAGGCCCGAGGTGCCATTCCCCTTCATGTTTGTGAAGTGCCTGAGACATCTGGTTGCCTTGCTCAGGAGCCTTGGCCTGCGCTGTCTGAGCACTTGCTGCTGCTCAGGTGTGGCCCTCAAGACCTCGGTTCCACGCCCAGCCCCCCCAGTTGTCCTCGTGGGACATGGGACTTGCGCTTCATTTCTCTCTTCGCACTTTTGCAGTTCAGAGTTGGGCACCCACGTGCTCTACTTCTGTGCTCTTAGATGCACTGTTCGGTGGTGTGTTGGGATGGAGTTTGGGTCCAGGGAGGGAGGAAGATGTCAGCTGATCAGGATCCGAGCATCCAGAAGCGTCTGGTCTTTTCAGTGCTGGAACGGCTCAGCCACTTTTCAGCTTTTTTTTTTTTACTTTAACCCTCTGACTGGTAGTTTGTGATTCCGCACAAATATTGGAACAGTTCAGCTGTTCAGCTCCTCTCATCCCAACAGAGATTTCCCTGCTCAGCTGGTTTGTGGTACACCTATCCCAGCCCTGAGCCTGAGGCAGGTGGGTTGCCAGGAATGAGAGGCCAGCCTGGGCTACACAATAAGACTGCCACAGAAAGGAAAAAATGGAAGAAAAAGGAAAGGGAAGGAAGGAAGGAAACTTGCATGGTTTTCAGCCCATGATTAGCAAAGTGTGGTGCTGCATGCCTTCAATCCCAGCACTCAGGAGGCAGAGGTAGGCTCATCTCTTGAGTTCCAAGCCAGCCTGGGTTAGATAGTTCCAGGCCAGCTAGGGTTACACAGTGAGAATGTATCTGAAAACCAAAAGAAATCCTATAATCCAGGTTATTTGGGAGAACTTGGACAAACACTTAGAAATTGCCACAAATTTATCACACGGGTAACTCAAGATGGCTGTGGCAGTCTCTCTTGGATACCTGCACATGTCCATCTGAAGAGTCCCACTTTCGGGATAGGATGGCACATTGCCAGCCCGACAGGACGCTTATAAAGGAGCTCTGTGCCAATGGCACCTGGTTCTGTTTTCACTCTGCATACTTGTTTGAGGTTATCACACATATATAAAATCTATTTATTTTTGCAAACCCTGATTGCTGCACTTGTTGGTGACATTCCTCCAGGTTGAGCTGGGGTGACACTCTGGGATGCTCTGTATATGAAGATTGTTTGAATGGGCTTTTCTTGGGCCTGTGTATTGCCTTGAGGGATAGGAATTGCTTTGGAAACATTATTCAGGTGTTTTTAATAGGCTGGAAATGTCTTACTGTAATGGATTAAACTCCTTTTTGAAAACGTTGTCATCAGTGTGTGTGTGTGTGTGTGTGTGTGTGTGGTGGAGTTCAGAGGCCGAAGAGCTGGAGGTCATAGGTCAGCTTTGTGCACTCTTCACTTTTGCCTGGGTTCTGGGACTTGAACTCAGGTCCTCAGGCTTGTATAATGAGCAAGCTTGGCTGGGTATGTTTAGTTTTATTTATTTGGGTTTTTGAGACAGGGTTCCTCTGTGTTGCTTTGGAGGCTGTCCTGGAACTTGCTCTGTACACCAACCTGGCCTGTAACTCACAGAGATTCACCTGCCTCAGCCTCCCGAATGCTGGGATCAAAGGTATTTGCCACCAACACCCAGCTTAGTTTTATTTATGTATGGGTAAGCATACATGCCCATGTTTGCACAGGTGCACACACCTCTCTGTGTCGAGGACAGAAGAGAGCATTGGGTGTCCTGTCACTCCAACTATTTCTTTGAGACAAAGTCTGTCCCTGAACCTTGGGCTCCATCAGCTTTGTATGATGCCAGCAAGGTCTAGCCTCTCTCTGTTGCACTCAGGCCAGTGGGTACCAGCATGCAGAGAACCCCATCTTGTTAAGTGGATGCTGGAGAGTCTGCACTTTGGCCCTTGGTTGCATGGTGAGACTCCTTAGCTGCTGAGCCATCGTCCTGCCCATCATTTCCTAAATGAATGAATCATTTAGCCAAACCTGTGTTTATGTTTGTTGAGGTGTGCTTATTTGGTAGGGTTTTTGGTTTGGTTTGGTTTTCTGAGACAAGGTTTCTCTGTGTAGCCTTGGTTGTCCTGGAACTCACTCTGTAGACCAGGTTGGCCTCTGCCTCCTGAGTGCTGGGATTAGAGGACCTGTGCCACCACTACCTGGCATTGATTTTTGAGCCAGGGTCTCACTATGTAGCTCAGGCTAATTTTGAAGTCAGAAACCCACCTCTGCCTCCAAATATTGGAGTTAAAGATGTAGGTCTCTGCACCTCTCTGTATTTCTTAGAGACTATCTTTTCCAAGCCTCTGCAAGGTGTGAGGAAACGAAGCACGTTAGCCAAAAAGAAAGTCTTCCTGTCTTTATCTGAATTTGATATTTTCATTACACACATGTGTATTTGATCATGTATTCACCCTATCACCCCACTCCTGCCGGCCCCTCTTCCCAACCTCACAGAGAGGGGCCATGGAGGCTCAGGGTTACTGAGGACACTCCTTTAGGACATCTTGCTGGGGCAGATGGAGGAGGAAAAGGACTACCCATATCCCACTCCCCCAGGCCACCCTCCCACCCCACCCCTGCATCCTAGGGTTGAGACCAATAAAAGGAACTTGGGGAAAGACCCTGGGAAATGAACAGCAATGAGGAGCACACTAGATAAGCCGCCTGGGTTCAGGTTCTGGCTGTGTAGCCTTGTGCACCTGGAGCCTGCTTCCTCAAGTAATCCCACCTCCTGCCTGGTTGTGGTGGGAGCTCTGGACAAGCCTGCCTGTCATCTCCTCTGCACCCACAGGGTGGCACATCCCTTCTTCCTTCCACCTTTTGTTTTGGGAAAGAGCCAAATGGCCTCTGGGAAAGAAAACTTAGACCTGGGAAGCCTCAGATTGCACAGGCTTTCAAGGACTACTTCTCTGAGTAAAATGACCTCACCTGTGTGGCAAACAGGAAAATGGAGCTTCAGTGGCCTGGGATTTGACAAATTGTAGAGCAGGATTGGAGCTACCATGGGGCACTACACATGGAGGGTGATGGACTCACTCACACCTCCATCCCCAGCGCCCCAGCAGGATTTCTCTGTGTGGTCTTGGCTGTCCTAGAACTCACTCTGTGGGCCAGGCTGGCCTCGAACTAACAGTCTGCTTCTGCCTCCCAGAGTGCTGGGATTAAAGGCAAGTGCCACCACTGCCTGGCAGCTACCACTTTTTTCTCCTCAAGGCCTTGCAAGGCCAAGTGTGATTACCCACGCCTTCCATCCTACTACTGGGGAGGTGGGGGCAGAGAATCAGGAGTTCAAGGTTATCTTCTATTAATAGTTAGGTTTGAGGCCTGCCTGGGGTCCATGACTCTCTCAAAAGCAAACACCACCTCACTTAGCAACATGCCCTAAAGAACTGGTGTGTACTCAGTGGCAGGTAGAGTGCCTACCTAACAAAGGGAATGGGAAGTTCTTGGGGACAAGATCTCCTTATCTGGTTTCCTGTCTTCTCTGCCTGTGGTTCCCTGGCTTCAGAATGGGGATCAATGAAAGACCTGGATGTGTACCCCGATATGTACAGCAGTCACCTGGTCCACTGAGGGCAAGTGGGGGTGGTCTTGCTTGGCAAGTCTCTGTGCAATCAGCCCTGTCCAGTCTTGACACAACAGCTGCTGCTCACCACCCCTAGGCTGGTGTCCCTTCCAACTCATAGTATCTCAGACCACAGATGTCTGTGGTGAACCAGCTTAGAGCCCAAGACTGAGTAAGCCCCAGCCTGCAGGAGGGGGACAATGAGAGGTGCCTCACCCTGCAGCCAGCATTCCCCTAACTCCAGTACCACTCAGTTCTCAGGCCACATCACCACCACTTAGCCTGCCCTGCCTAGGGAAAGTTTCCTGAGACTTCTGTGTCTTGTCTGACACTCCTGACAACTGCTTCCTGCCCTGGGGGAGGAACTCCCTCCCTCCTCTCCTGACCCTCCCTTTGGCCTCGTTGCCTTGGGGGATGTGGGAAAAACTTGGGGCTTAATTAATCAGCCCCTTACTTGGCACAAGCCACTGGGAATCTGAAAATTGCTTGATCGAAGAGCCTTCTGAGGTGGCTTGGTGTCTGCCCTTTGCGTTTGCTTGTATTCTCCCAGCCTGGAAGCATGCTAGCATATCTTTGGTACCCTGTATCTTCATGTCTACATCTCATCTCTACCCTCCTACCCTGGACCCCTGTGCTCAATGGTCACTCCCTCCTGAGTCCCTTTAGAATCCCACTTTCCCACAGCATTTTATCCCCTTCAATTCTTTATCACCAGGAGTGATGACCTCACTCCTCTCGTTGGAGATTAGGCGTCTGCTGCCCCACCAAGTGTGAAACCTGAGACAAATCAATCCTGGCCTGGGGGCCAGGGTAGTTTCATTTCCCAGATAACTGCAGCCAGGTGTACTTCCATAGCTCTAGTCACATAGCGGTATTTTAAGAAAGTGCAGAACACCAGGCAGGACATTCAGCCAACAGGGGACTGGACTGGGTCAGCCCAGTGGTACAGTGTATGTCCAGCATAAATGAAGCCCTAGCCCATCCCCAGCACCTCAAAAGCAGTGGCTCAGCAGGTAAGGGCACCTGCCATGCAAGCCTGGCGATCTGAGGTTGTAAAGGTGGGAGACTGACTCCCTCACCTCCAAATGCATGCATGCACTCTGTGGCCTGCACCCTCCCCTCACATACTGTCTCCCCACACGGACATCAGTAAAAAGGGCTTCTCTACCAGGAGGTCCCGAGGCCAAGGTGAGGAGAGTATACTACCTCTAAAGACAGGTGACAGGTGGAGGTCCCCACATGTGGTCATGTCCATAACCCACAACTGGCCTTCTGTCCCCCACAGCAGGGCAGCTTTTCAGTCCCGAGGAGATAAGCCTTCAAATTTGGCTGCCCTGGATTCAAATCTAGCCTCATGCTTACTTCCCATGTCTAAGCACCCTTTCTGCTTAATGAGCCTGCCTTAGTGGAAACAGCTCTGACCCACCAGAGCTGACCCCAAACCCATGGGCAGGGTAGAAAGACTAGAGAAAGGGGCTGGTCACCGCTGTTGTCCCAATAAACCACCTCATCCTGGTGACAGCATGTTTGGTATGAGACTCCATTCCATCTGTGGTAACTTCAATGTTGCCCCTCCCTCTGGCTGGCCTTGAGAATGAAGGCTGGGGTGGCTAGCTCCCTTGGAAGGAACAAGCCAGGCTGTGGGTGGGAGTTTGGGCAGAAGGCTGTAGCCTGGCCCCAGGATGTCCCTGGCAGGAAGCCAGTGCTGGGCACAGAGAACTGGGGCCTCTCCAGGGCCCTGAACCACACTCGGGGGGCCCCCCGCCCCCTCCCCGTATGCTCCAGTGAAGGGAGAGAGGTGGGCATAAATCCTCCTGTACCAGAGGGCTAGGGGTTCGAGTAGCAGGCACTGGCCCTTCCAGTGCAAAACAAAGCAGTTCCTATCCGCAGGGGGCCAGGGCCAAGCCTCTCTGTGGTTCCTGCTGCCCTGATCCATCTTTGTTCTTTCTTTTAAAGATTTATGTATTTTATGGGTATTTTGCTTGCATGTATCTCTGCACTGTGTGTGCCTAGTGCCTGAGCAAGTCAGGAGGCATTCAACCCCCTGAACTGGAATTACAGGTTGATTCATTGCACTGTGGGTGCAATGAATCGAACCCAGGCCCCCTGGAAAAGCAGCCAGTGCCCCTAACTGTAGAGGTGGAGGCAAACACCTTTACCCTGTGGCTACTTCTCCCCTAGGCACCAGTATCTGCAGCTCAGCATGTGCAAACAGAGAAAGGCTGTGTGCCTCACCCTGGCATGGAAAGTCCCAGTGCTCAGCAGTGGCCCAGCCAGTGTGTTAGTCCTGCAGACACTGTGTACCCTTCCCCAGGGACAGAGCCATGGCCACTTCCTGTTGTCGGGGTGCTATTGGAATTCAGTGAGTGGAGATCAGGGGGTGCTGAGTGTCCTGTAGTGTCCCCACACACTAAAACATTACCCGGATGTCACTCGGGTGGGGTGACCTGTATGTGGTTCAAGACTTGAGCACAAGCCTAGAATCTTCCAGTGATAGGCTTGGGGCTGGCACCAGGACCTCATAAGCATAAGGGGAGGGTGGGCTGAGATGGTTGCTAGTAGAGTCTTAAGCTGGAGGACCTGAGGAGAAATCTAAAACTCAGGTAAAATGGCTCATGTGGTGGCTTAGTGGAAACTCAAGTGCTGGAGAGGCAGGAATGGCAAATCCTTGGGAGTTCATTCATACCTTGCCTCAAAAAGTAGGGTGGGAGGGGCTGAAGAAATGGCTTAGCTGTTAG